AGTCCTCACCCCCAGTCCCTCCTCCCTCAGACCCTGGAGTCCTCACCCCCAGTCCCTCCTCCCTCAGATCCTGGAGTCCTCACCCCCAGCCCCTCCTCCTAACCCCCAGCCCCTCCTCCTGACCCCCAGCCCCTCCTCCTTCGGATTCAGGGACCCAGGTCTCCAGATTCCTCTGAACCCCAAGTAGGTCCAGCTCCTACTGTTTCAAACCTGTCACTACATCCGTCCTCCTTCCTTTCCTCCCTCAGATGCATACATTCTGTTCCCCAGCACCTTCCCCGACCAGGACCTGGGAGTAAACCTGGACCCTTTGGCCTTTTTGCTCAGGGGTCTGGGGTCTGGGAGGGAGCTGATGAGGTCCTGGGTCCCCCTGCTCTGTCCTCCCGGACCTGAGCTTAGCCTCCTCCTGGAAGTCCAGCCATCAGGCAGGAAGGAGGCTGCGCGGGAGCGGCAGGGCAGCTGAGCCGCACGGTCCCCACCGCTGTCCCCAGGGTCTTGCTTCCCACACTCCCCTCGACCCCTCCAGTCGTAGTTTCCACGCGTGGCCAGCTTGTCCAAGCCCCCTGGCCCTGCCTCACAGCCGTCAGCCCAGCTCTCCCTGGGAGATGATCAGCCCCCAGGCCAGCCCTGTGGAAGCGCCCTCCACCTGGACCTCCTCCTCCCCAGCCTGCAGCTGCACTGCACCACGGGCCTGCGCCCGGGGAGCCCGTCCCCGCCCCGGGAGGCCGTGTCCCCGGCCTGCACGTCCCCACTATCGCCCCGAAGCCCCTCCATATTCTGCCCCAAGGCGGTGGAGGCATTTCAGGACCAGGCCTCCCCCTGCCTCAAGCCTCCCAGTTCACGACCCCAGCCCCTCCTCCCTCAGATCCTGAATCCTGACCTCCAATCCCTCCTCTCTCAGACCCAAAAGTCCTGACCCCTCAGACCTCGGAGGTCAAGACACCCACAACTCTAGGAGCCCAGGCGCCTCCTCTCTCAGACCCAGGAGTCCAGCACCTGGGTCCCTCCGCTCTCAGACCCTCGGGCCCTGGCCCCCAGCATCCTCCATCGTCGGGGTCCAGGAGCCTGGACACCAGCGCCCTTCTCTGCCTGTCCCAGGGGTCTGGGCCGTCAGCCCCCCTGGCCTTTCAACCCGGGGCCCACCCTGTGCCCCCTCCCCCACCGCCACCCCTGCTCCCGCCGCCCCGCTCACCGGTCTGTCCTTTGCCCAGGGTCTTCTCCAGCCGATAGGGGCCCACATACTGGGCGTGCTGGGGTGGGTGTGGGTGCGGGTGGGGGAGGTGGTAGGCGGGAGAGCCCCCGCCCCCCTCCTTGGCTCCAGACGACATGGTGCCCTTGCTCCCCGCCCGCCCGGCCCCCCGGCCGGCCCCCCTGCGTCCAGTCGCCCCGTCCCTCCGGTGGGGGCCGGCGGCAGCTCCGTTCCGGCCCCCCCGGCTGCTCCCTACTTCTCCGGGGGTCCCCAGGGGGCTGGGCTGGGCCCCCCTAGGCGGCGGGCCGCGGAGCTGGGGGAGGGGGGGCTGGCCCGGGGGGGGGTCAGGCC